CCGGATCCGAGTCAACTCTTTCGGCGCCTTGTGTGGGGCTGACTCTGGCAGCGGCGGGTCGTTGACCTTGAAGTACGTGATCTCGGCCGCCAGCCCCGTGGCCATCCACTTGTACATGCCCCAGCATGTATGCATGAGCTCGCGCGCCAACGCCATGTCTGCCTCCTGTTTGGCGCCCCACGTCGACAGCTTGCGCGCCTCGGCTTCCGTGAGGCCGCCTGTGGCCGCGAGCGCAATCGTGCCAGGGTAGAAGCACACGAGATGGTCCATCTTGGGTGACAGCTTGCCGTCGAGCCCTGATGGTCGCTCACCCAGTACAGTGAAGCGCGAGGGCTCACTGTACGTGATGAGGTGCTTGCGCACGCCCCCGAGCGACTCCTCCCACATCTCCTGGTATACCGGCTCCTGTTTGTTCGTTTGGAGGTACTGCTTGATCAGGTACTCGTAGTACGAGTCGCCCCTCGAGCCGAGCCGGATATTCGACCCGCGGAACTTGCCCGATGTCGCATAAATGTAGATGGGCACGAGGCCGTCCTGCGCCCCGTTGTCGTCCACCACTTGCATCACCTTCTCGACCTTGTCCCAGTAGTACTTCTCTCCCGTCAGCTTGGCAAGATACTTGAACTCAAGCTGCAGCGTCGTAACTTCGGCTGTCGACGACGCCCCATCGTCTGCGTGCGAGCTGACACCCTCGCCCTTGCTGAGGATGACACTTGCGTACGGCACGCCTGACTCCGAGTCGAATGCTCCGATCAATCGGTCTGCCAGGTCCTTGGCTTTCTCGAGGTACAAGTCCTCGCCCGGCGCGCCCTCGTCGTCGTCAGCCAATGGTGCCAGCTGCGGGAACTCGGTCGAGATGTAGTGCGCCGACAGCAGGCCGCCGAGCATGCGAATCGTCGTTTCAAATGTGTTGACGTCTTGGTTCTGGTCCCAGGTCAGCGACTGGGACAGCCACTCGCGGGCATGCGTCAGCCGCGAAGTGAGGTTCATGAGCATCATCGTGTCGAGCGAGTCGATGATGATCCAGCCGAGGCCCTTGGGTGCCATGTGCTTGCCGGTCTTCGCTACGGGGTGGTACTCGTCGTAGCCTGGGAAAAACGTCGAGTGTCAGTTGACTGTTGTCAGCAGTCGCACAGAGGTCACTTACCCCAAGCGTATCGCTCGTACGCATCCCAGCTCAGCTCAAAGGCTTCCACCACTCTTTTCTCTTCCTCTTTGTCCCAGTCTACCTTCTTGCCACTCGGTTCCTTGGCCGCCTCGGATGACATCCACCGCTGCAGGTCAATGTGCGGCGTGTCGACATCCTCGAAGGCGCCAAAGAACCAGCAGCCGCCCAGCACCAGCAGTATGAGGAGCAGAATGGTTCTTTTTCTCCGCCACGCCGGTCGCAGGCGCCTGGACGCGGCATAGGTATATGGTTTGTCTTTGTACATGGGCAGCTGTCCGCGCGTACCCAAGAAATCGTCCACGCGGTGCTGAACGCCGTCGAGGATGCCGGACGCTTGTGCTTTCGAACCGCGGGCCGTGACGCCTGAGGATGACCACATGTGATCCTCGATCAGTCGTTGCGGGTTGCCAAAGGACGGAGCATTCTTCGGGACTGTAAAAGACATGATGTCGTCGACCGAAAGGGGAATAGGAAGGCGGTGGTATAATGTATGTCGTGGCCTTCCTGGTCTCTCTGCCTTATGCGAGCAGCACGGCGGTCCCCACACCACTACCTGTCCTTGGTGATGTGTGGGCCGTGGGACGTGGGCTGGGGGTGTGTCGTGTGGTTTGACGTGGTCTCGGACGTTCTCAGAATGGGGTTTGTGGCATGGCGCAGGTTGTTGTAGAGATCAGGTACGGGTATGAGGTTCGCGATGTTGGCTTTGCATCGTCTGTGTATCAATTGATGCAGACCTTGAAGGGGAAAAGACAAGAATGCGAGACAGGTCTTCGTTTGTCAAGGGAAGCCTGAAAGCTGGAGCTCACGAGACAGGGTCATCGCCAAGCTGGTGGGCTTGCAACCCAGCGAATAGAAGAGCGCGCTGGGGCTGCTCCTGGTATACCTTTGCTGGGACCCTTGAAGAGGACACTTAAAAGGTGCGGTGTTAGTGGCTGCACCCCCCTGACGACACACCACCAGGCAGGCGCTGGGATTCTCTAGAGTGGCCATCTTCGACGACGATTATTCTTCACATCGCTAGTCTTGAACAGGAGTATGTTTCAAAGGCATAGATCTCAGGGCAAGCTGCATGTGGTAGCAAGTTCAGACACCTGCACCCATCCTTTCTGTCATAGTGGATGCTTCCAGCCTCATCACCTTAGAAACCCTCCCTTTCCTCCACGTCAGCATGAGATGTCAGCTAGCGAACGAGACGTAGAGGTCGGAGATGTCAAGATGCAAACACGGTCTTCCTAAGGGCAGTATTAGCTTCTCGAAATGACAATCTAGTTGCCCATTTTCGAGATGAGATCTAAAGTCAACCTCTCTCAGGCATCGTGATTTAGTCAGCCAATGACAATCGGACTTCCAGCTGATCATGACCCCATCTGACCATGCCCTGCACGATGAATGCCTTTCCATATCCATTTGATCTCAACCAAGAAACTCTGCACATCCCTGAGAACAAGCCGAACGTTTGAATCAGCATTCTGATCGGGGTAGTTCCCGAAATGCATGCACCATGGCCTCTTGCTCCGACCTCAAGAACTTTCCCAATTTGACAAGAGACGAGTTCGCCGAGGTCTGCCATCATTTTGACAACCGTTATGTCCAGGCAACATTGGGTCCACTTCGTCGAAGATGGAAGATGAGAGTCTTCAGCGCCTTTGACATAGCATTTGGCCTGGGCGCCGACTGCACCACCTATATCCAAATTATACGACCCCTTGAAGCAACCCTGGACCCTGACGATCTGTCATTGTTCTTGGACGGCTTCTCCTTTGGCAGCCAGGCGAAACCAGAGTCTTACACGCTGGAGCTCGACCATGCCATGATGGATGCCGAAGAGTCGGATGAGGTACATCACTGCGAGTCCCTCGGGGCATAGGCGTGTCCCGTGGCTAATCACGAACAGGCCGCCATGCCCAGGAAGCGAGCACCGCCCGATTCGGGACATGTTATCTACGAGATTCACCTTCACCCCACATATCAGATGCCTTGTCTCTGGTTCACGCTGCACGGGTTGCCGGCGGACGAGCCCCCATTCGACATCGATACGGTCTTCAGGAGGCTGGTGCCCGATCAGTATAAGAGCGCCCTACGCGGCACAGGGCCCATCGGCGGCATCTCATGCGATGTGAGTTTCACTTTCAAAGGAGGAAGAGGCTTTAATTGCGTCGATTGGTGGCACTATCTTTGGCCATGCCTATATTTCTGCTAACAAGGTCCGGCAGCATAATCCCCTCACGGGAGTCCCATCCTTCTACGTCCACCCTTGCCTGCTCGGCGATGCCATGGCCGGGTTCGAGTGCTCCAAGGAGAACTACCTGATGGCTTGGTCGGGCTGGTCGGCGGGTGTGTTGGGCTCTGGGTGCCCAAAGAGATGGCTGAGGTAGCCCGTCCGTCGTGGGACTTCCCGTAGAGCTTCCGTAAAGCCTTTTCTTCGCTTCTTCTTCTTCTGCCTAGGCGCCACCCTCCTTTTCGTGCGCTCGTCATCCAATT